TTTTTTAACGATCTCTCTTGGCATGGATAAAGGAATTCAAATGTTTGTTGGAAGACATCCGGTCGCAGGCATGCGCTGCTGATCTGATGGAGGATTACAAAGGCATCTGGGCAAAAATCCAAGAAAATATAAATCATGCTAATTAATATGAATGTGATTTTCCTTCCACACTGATTCATTGCTGTAGACAAGTTATTTGGATATCATTGTGAAAATGTAATGACTGACAAAGAGTATTTAGGACAGAAATGATATTTGTCTTTCACTGAATATTTCTAAATCTGGGATCATCTGTCTTAAAACATGCTGCATTTTATATTTAGCTTTATTTGACTTAAAATATAAGTCAAATAAAACACGTTTCCATTATAACATGGAAAGAGTATGTAATGCATGTCTGACATCCTATTAACTGGTTGTGTGGTGATGACAGAGTCAAATTCTAGGCTGTCCTTTAACTTTAAATGCACTAGTTACCTGTTTCCCCCCATGAAACAGAGCAGTATGTAATGTCCCTTTCAGAAAGAATGCCTCAATTTTTTTCTGCTGTTATAAGTGCTAGAGGAGGGTTTGATGAATCAAAGATATGACATTTAAATACTAATAAAGGTACTCATATGGTGAACATACTATAAATTTATTTGTGAGCAAAGAATACTGAGTGTATTTTTAGTAAATCTTAAGTGAGTAACATGCAAAGGTAGAAAGTCTTAGTGCATGCAAAAATGTTTGACTGGTAGTCTAGGTGAAAAATAGTTGTGTTATATAGCATATAGATTAGTGTTGTGTTTCCCAATCCGGTCCATGGGGACCCCCAGCCGGTCCGCGTTTTTGCTCCCTCCCAGCTCCCTGCCAGATTGCAGAAAAAGGAAATACAAAACAACAAAAAGCACATTAAAAAAAAATCAATAAAACATTCTTTTTGTTATCATCAGGAGGCAGCAGGAAAGCGCAGCACAGCTTGCGTATATGTTAGAAAACACTGAGAAAGACGAATCTCTGCAGTTTCCATCAGTTATATTTGAAACTTTTACCTAAAGGTAAATATTTCCTACTTCAATGAATTATGAAGACGGGTGTAAAGATGAAAGGCTCCATGTACAAATCCCAACAGCCCCTGTTTTCCACCTTTTTCTGTGTTTGATTATCCTGAGCTGTTTTTTTCCATGGAGAGCTGGCTAAAGTTTTGAATAGTATTCTAGTCAAGCGTTGTACTGCAGCCAGGACAGAACTTTTATTTCATGCACCCTGAAACAGGTAAATAAGTGTCAGCACTTTGTTATTTTTCACTCTTTGCGCTCTACGTTTTCTAATTCTCTATGCAAGAATTGTGCCTCTTCCATTTCTGCCTGACAAAAAACAGTACTGAGAAATGTGAAGTGGAATACAAAAAAAATGTTTTTTGGGACTAAAGATGGAGTAATGAGGCAGAGAAAGCGATACTTATAATACTTTATCTCACAGCTTATTTTATTCCCTGGTTTGGTCAGATGTTTATGTTGAAAAGAGAAAAAAAAAGATTTAAGAATGCCTTTAATCCTTTACGTGCGTTTTGCGTACAGTATCAGTAGAAGCTACCTTGTGAACTGATCCAAGATTCATTCAACTGTGGGCTCTTGGCGCCCTCTAGTGTGAGCAAAAGATAATTCATTCAATCGTATTTGATAAACGCTTATGAGTCACCGTGTTTCCCGATGACACCGTTTGCGAACTTGAAATCACAACTGGACTGATTTTGCTTACTGACACACAACAGAAACATGACTAACCCAATATCTGCAAAGCACAATTACACATATATCGACCTCCATAACATTTAATAATACAAGCAATACACGATACAGCCAATACTCATACCAAAGATATCACATACCCAAAAGGGCTTTCATATTCCCATAAATACTCGCTAAAATACTGCCAAGTTATAGCCACATACAGTATAATAATCTGATATGTAGGACATGCTAACCCACACTAGACAACAAGATGTGTTAAGATCAATAGTGTTGCGTACAGGCGAATTAAGCACATCATCGACTATTTTAGAACGCTTCATACCGTTTCCCATCCCGGTCCTCGGGACCCCCTGATAGTCCTCGCTCAAGCACCTTCCTAGGTCCCAGCCTCCCAAGGTTTCTTCCTTCTAGGGAGTTTTTCCTTGCCACCATCACCTCTGGCATTCTCACTGGAGGCTTTGAAACAATGTAATGTTGTAAAAATTTACTATACAAATAAAATGAATTGAAAAGATCAATATACGCAGCAGGGATTGTTAACGTCCCCTACAATGAATATCTACTAGGCAACTGCTTCTATTCAATAGCATTATTCTGTCGTACGGATATTAGTGGACGTTCCATTCATCCTGAATTATAAAATGGTTTTGGAATCCTGAGAGTGCAAAATACACTGTAGTTTATCAGTGTCAGCGAAACATCCGGCACTAGACTCTGTTTGCAGTAGCTCCCCAGCTGCAGTGTAACAAGCAGGAATGAACAAGTGTTAAATACTGACTGCTGTGATGGAGAAGACATCAGTTTGGAGACATGCTTGAAGTGTGAGGCCAAGGCATTAACTTTTGAGCCACCATGACAACCGTCCATTATATTATTTTTCAGTACAATCCATTCCTCAGATGGGGACATTATATTATCGCTAAATGAGACACAGTTTCAAAATGAGGACAAAGTAAAAAAATATGCAACAAAAAAAAATGATTTTTTTTCCCCTTTCAATACAATCACGAATATCCACTGAAAGAGTAATAATATAAATTCAGAGAAAAGAAAGCCATCACAAGCCTTTGTAATGCATGCATCTAACAGATCTCACCAATGCCAATTTAATGGACGCCCTTATGTTTTCATTAGCGAACAATGAAAAGTAGACAAACAGATTACTTCTAAGCAAATTACTTGAAAATTTGATAAATTTTATTTAAAGTTTAATATATTGCAGGGTAAAACAAAGAAAGTACAGTTTGCACAACAGAACAGAGAAAATGCTATTGGACAGCTGCATCAGTGTCCCCTTTTCCTGTTCCTGACATTCAACTTCCTTCCTCCTTCCCCAGTCCACCAATCGGGAGGCTGGCAGATCGTCACACCATCATTTTCCCTACATGCAAGTCCAGCACTATCAGCTTCTGGAGACCCACTTGCAGGTTCAAGCATCAGTTACCATGGAGGCGACATTGGCTGAGGGTTCTGAAGATATGACATCACCACTGCAGAGATAGATAACCTGGAGGGGCAGAGGAGCATACAGAGGGTTACTGGGACAGACAGTCAGGGGGCATAAGTGTTCATTAAGGGTCAGCTTATAGCAGCACAGAGTCACGTCAAAAGCTGAAGGAAAACGAGAGGGGGGGCAAAACAGCTAACAATAATCAACACTTTCGGGTAATGCCTCAGTGGGAGAAAGAAATCCATCCACATTCTAACCCCTTATCTAGGTGATCATGGGGAATTTTCTCAGGAATTACTGGGCACAAGGTAGGGGAACACCCAGGACAGGATTCCACTACATCACAATGCACACAGTCACAAAAAAAAAAATAATAATCCACTATAAAGAGATCCACTATAAAATGCAAGCTTAAATAATGCAACAACTGTAGATCAACACAGTGGAGTAGTGGGTAAGGCTGTTAAACTTAATCTCAGGGATCAACAATCTGTCAGCATGAACAAATGTGTCCAAGGCAAAATGTTGGGATTGAGGAAAACAAAAAAACTGAACATAATGATGTACACTACATTTTAAATATCATGCCCAGGGCAAAAATCACATTTTGATCATAATGTTGACGCCATAGCAAATGGACGCCTGCTTAAACCATTATGAGGGGAAAAAAATCCAACAGATGTGAAAGAGCTAATCAATCATACATCTGTCTTTATCAAGTTCTCATAACACTTACTTGTACGTTACAGACACTATAATGGAGCATAAGCAACGCAACGTGTTTCAACAGCAGACAGTGTGTCAGCGGAGTCAGACTCACATGAAGCTACTCATCATTTGTTTGGTGTCCTCGGAGCTGCGGGAGTTAGCGAAGCTGATGAAGGAGCAGTAGACCGCGATCCACGCACACCACTTCAGCTGGAGGAAGACAAAAGCACGTCAGCGGCGGACAGCGCTTACGATCAGAAAACGACATAAGCGGCCGAAGCAGCGCGCAGCCACCTTCAGCATCAGGCCGCACATGCTGAAGATCATGCCGAGCAGGTTCATGTAGTCCGGGGTGGGGTCCTCCATGGCGGGGTTCGAGTCTGAACTAGGAGGCTTGTACCTGAAGCCAGAGGACGGTGGAGATCAAATCAGTCAAGGGGGGGAGGAAGGTGGAGAAGCAAAGGCGAGAGAGTGAATACACGGAAAAACTCCGCATTGAAGAAGTGACAACCTAACACACTGCCACTCATTTAGTTAAGATCAGTGAAATATATCAATACATTTTAAAAACAACATTAATAATCAAATGAACACTTTTAAATAGGTTGTACATAGCGGCGAGCTACTTAGGGTGTAACGTAATCGTCTTACTCCGCCCTGGTCTCCTAACGGTAAACCTCAGCACCTGCCTTGAAAGATTCTGTCAATGTAATATAACTTCACGCTACGCACCGGAGGATTTTGTTTTGTCTCCGTGGGTCCGACATACTGTTCGAAGACATCTTCCAGCCTCCGATTGAGAACGACAGCAAAGTAAAACTCGTCGTTGGACAAGAGCGGCTGTTCCGGTACGCCACTTCCGGTGGCGAGAACAGTTTCAAAATAAAAGCAATGAGAACGTTTGCTAGTAGAACAAAGTATCAAAAAATGAAAACAAAGTCTGTCATGCATCTTTATAGTAATCTATGTTTTCCTCGTTAGCATTAGTAAAAAAAGAAATCCTGATCGAAGGTCTTAATTATGTCATTAAAGATGATAGCGATTGTTATTTGGCTTTATTAATTAAACATTTATTTTGAAAAAGGTTTAGGCATCGATCTCGGAATGCACGCTTGGCCCTGAATACATTTCCGGTTTGTCTTATATTTGTTGCAACATGCACCAATAATACGGCAAATATTTCGCCGATTCATATTACTCTGATGTTACTCGTAATGAAGTGATTCTACAGCAGTGTCCCGGGTACCTTAGACAATAATAAACATTAGCAGTCTGCTTTCCAGTTTATCGTACAAGGTAACTAACTAGCAATGCACAGTGAGTTATAGACTTATACAGACAGCCTGCAAGCCAGCTTTTAGATGAAGTTGCAGAGGTAACACTTTAATAGTCGTACAGCTGTCCTTTGTCCGTTTAACGGCGTTGTCCGTCATTGCTGGAATATCAGGACCATGGCGTTCCCTCTACCCCGGCCGCAGCCGCCACAGCTTCCCCATCACTTGCTCCGTACGGTGGACTGTAAGCAGGGAGCAATAAGAGCGGTTCGTTTCAACGGTGAGAAGCTTTTGTACCATTGCCTATGTACATCTGGTGAATTTTAATGGATATGAACTGGTATTTCATGCCTTTGTCTATCTTGCGCTCAGCTGATGGCAACTACATTTTGTCTTGTGGCGGCGACAAGACCCTTCGGCTCTGGAGTGCGAGCCGGGGCACTTTGCTGAAGACCTACAGCGGGCATGGATACGAGGTGCTGGATGCTGACGGGTGAGCGCTGACTTTCACTACGCAAAGATTCCTGATCGAGAGCTCAGTAAACGAAGACTCTCACTGAAATGGACACGTACATAGTATCTTTACGTCACAGTCTACTTTCTTTCCCTGTTTTTCAGTGCTTTCGACAACAGCCACATCTGCTCCTGTAGCTCAGACAAGACGGTGATCCTGTGGGATGTGGCTTCGGGACTGGTTTCCCGAAAACTGAGGGGGCACGCGGGGGTGAGTCTTTGGGTTACACCTAGACCTTAATCCTTTTTGAATGAATCCAGTATCTCTGCCTGTAACACTAAACGCACTCTGCTTTAAACGTGCTGCTTTTCTTGTGTAGAAAGTGAACTGCGTGCGGTTCAATGAGGAGGCGACGGTTATTGTGTCCGGTAAGTTGACCTCGTCCACACCCCGCCACGCATGCTGACCATACGCTGTAATCGGCCGCCCATTCTCTGCTCTTTCCAGGCTCCATAGATGGCTCAGTGAGGTGCTGGGACACGCGATCCAGGAGGCCCGAGCCGATCCAGGTTCTGGATGAGGCCCGGGACGGCGTGAGCAGCGTTAAAGTGTCAGAGTATGAGCTACTATCAGGGTTGGTACCAAGGCTGTCTGAGCTCCTGCCGTTGGAGACACAAAAAGCCACAACTTCATTCACCATTCATAGTCATCGTTTTTTTCTGTTTCATAATAATCCTCTTGCCTATAATTTTAATGTCACACCCTAATATCTACTATGCAGAACCTAAACCATAGTACTTACAAGTGCAAAATTTATAATGATGTCAGAAGAAGTTTAGAATCACAACGTGTGTACATTTAATTCGTGTTTCATTTGGCACTTTTTTACGTAGAAAAATACAGAGCAGTGTTAATGTCTTGACCATACTTCACACTCCCCAGCTCAGTGGACGGCCGAGTGCGACGCTATGACCTTCGGATGGGGCAGCTGCACGTGGACTTCATCAACAGTCAGTGCATGATTCCTGTGCACCATTGTCTACGCTAGCCTGAGCGTCTGTGGCCTGTGACCTTCAGTAACCTCACCACGGGTCACCCCAGGGCCTCACCTGCAGTGTCTCTCACTCCCGTTTTAACAGGCCCCATCACCTGCGTGTGCTTCAGCCAAGACGGTCAGTGTACCCTCAGCTCCAGCCTGGACTCCGCAGTCAGGCTGCTGGACAAGTCCACGGGGGAGATGTTGGGAGAGTGAGTAGCCATTCACAGGATGCTTGGCTGGGTGCATTGCTTACAAACATTACCTTCTCTTCCTCACTAGACTGAGGCATTACTTGTCTTAAATATGGTCCATATCCAGCCTCTTTAAGATCATTAATTTTTATTACCGTATTTCCTCAAATAGTGGCCTTTATTTACCTAAGCCACAGAAGTAATAGCCCTTAATTTGAGGCAGGTTTGTAGTAGAGGCAGGCCTTTATTTGATTCCCTCTGTTACTGCATTACCTTGCTAATATATATATATATATATATATATATATATATATATGAATGAGTCAAATGCCACCACTGCGTCAGTGTAAACCCTGTTAAACACACTGGGTACATTTACTGGAAATATTCTCTTTAAAAAAACTATATAATAGTAGATTATAGTATTGCAAGGCCATTGAAATTGTAAGGGCCCAGGTGTCACAACATAAAAACAGAATAATTCATGAGTTACTCCAAAAATTAATAATGATAAACATTCTTTTTTAATAGCACAGTCAAATATCTAATAATGATCAGACTTAGCTGCAAGCGAGATCTGAACTGAAACACAGCTTACCATGATAAAACAACTGCTGAGTGGTAGTTTTCTATCAGATAAAATGATAATGTGTCTGTATTTATTAACACGCATTTCACCAAGAGCCACAACTGACTAAATGAGATGGACATTTCTATCTGATGTTGCTTTTTCCTGTTTCCTCCAAAACGTTCACACGACTGCTGTGGACCATTTGTAATGTTTTATTTATGTTGTTTCTTTATAGACCCCAAAATCTTTGTATAAATGTGCATACAGATGTTTGCCATCTATTCCATCCTTACAAAACCTTTAAATGAGCCCCCATGAGTTTACCCCATCCTCGGCCTTTAATTTTTCATGTCGACCACACTCCTTGGCCAGTATCCGAGACCCAGCTTTTAATTGAATTCTGGTTTTTATTTGAGGAAGTACAATATGTACATGTATAAAAACACTTGGATGAGTATCTTTCTCTGTTTTATATTATATATTATCTCTTCTTGTAATTGCATAATTTGTCTTTACTTTCACTGTTGGATATTGGATGTTGTTGCTGTTTACACCTTAATTTCCCCTTGGGGATTAAGAAAGATCCATCCATCCATTCATCCATCCATCGTTGTCTGTGCAGATACACTGGCCACAAGAATACTTCATACAAGCTGGACTGCTGTCTGTCCCACAAGGACACTCATGTGTTAAGCTGCTCTGAGGACGGCTATGTCTACTTCTGGGACTTGGTGGAGGTGAGAGGAGAAATGGTGGAGGCATTGCGGTTGGATTTGGGAGCCTGACAGGCGTGGGAATAAGGGTTCCAGCTGCTTAGGGCATTTGATTAGCAGGTACCATCACAGCAGATACCATCACAGCAGGTACCATCGCAGCTTACAAGAATTTCCATGCAAATGTTCACTTTGTATTCTGTATCAAGCAAGAACAGATTTTTTTTTTCCTGCGATAAGATTCAAGATTCAAGTTTCTTTATTTGTCACATGCATAGTTATACAGGTACAACATGCAGTGAAATGTATCCTGAACCGCTCATACTTTGTGCAAATAACAAAGAAACTAGAAAATAAATTGAAGTAGAAAATAGAAAATTGAACTAGAAAATAAACTTGAAAATAAATTGTAAAATAGATTGTAAATAAATTATAGAGAGTGCAAACAGAAAAAAGATAAATAACCTATGAATTTACAAGAGAGTATATACAAATTACAGGATGAAATAAAAAATACTGTGCAAGAAATGCTTATAGCCAGTTAAAGTGCAGTGTGCGGTTTCAGCACAGCAGTATATGGTTGAACTAATAACCATAACGCTATGACCGGGAGAGTGGCATGTCTTGATTGAGGAGTCGAATCGCCTGGGGATAGAAACTCCTCCTGAGTCTCTCCGTCTTATAAGATAATTATAAGTCCATAATTACATGGAACCTTCTGCCTGAATGCAGAAGTTTGAACAGTCTGTTTTTGGGGTGAGACAAGTCATGTATTCGTTCTCCATTTTTGTTTCAAGTTTCAAATATCAAACTTTATTGTCATGTGGATCGTTCAGACTTGTACAAATAAAGACAATAAATAGCAGTAACACCTTATTAGACATGTGCATATGTATGTGGAAAAGATACTTTAAAGGTAGATTTTGGGAACGATGTGGCAGATTGTCGCTGCGTTTAGTGAATAATTAGCGTTTGTTGTGGAGATGAATGGTCTCCGGTTAAGAACCTGAACCTTCTGATCTGAGCGTTTATTGGAATGTGGCTGCAGGGTGACATTTCTTGTGCTTTTCTAAGGCAGAGTATGGCCTTAGTGTCCTGCTGGACTTTTGTGTGTTTGTGTTCTGTCTACCTGCTGTGACCTTGAGTCCTTTGTTCCCTTTCAGGGCTCTGTGTCGTTGAAGTTGCCCGTAGGGAAAGCGACTGTGCAGTCACTCTCATTCCACCCTTCAGAGCCCCGCCTACTCACTGCCATGGAAGGCAGTGTAAAGGTGTGGGGGGCGGAGCCTGAGGACACAGTAGAGGATCAGGGACAACAGTGACGCTCTGAGAGACGAGAATTGGCATAGAATTGACTATTTGCAAGCTGTGAGAAGAGTCTTCATTGCCTATATTGTTTTTGTAATATTTTAGCATTTTCACTGTGAAGAAGAAACATTGTGTTCACAATTTTCATATGGATTGGGACTATATTTCTATAAGATTCCGTTGAAATAAACAATTTTGTTACACCAGCTGTTCAAATTATTGAGGAATTTCGATAATGACGTAACAGGGTCAAGGATACATCATTTGCCATTTATTTTGGATCAATTATTATTGATCTCGTCGAGATTCCATCGTTCCAATATTTAAAATTTTAAATGTTTTAATTAAAGTGGCCTGTAAGTCTTTAGAATGTTTCTAAAGAGCTTTAATAATGCCAAAATCTCTTATCCAGGTAATAGGATACGTCAGAGATTTCTGACCACAAGACACGTCCCATAATGCCTTGCGGCACGTCAATATGGCGATGCCCGTGTGCAGGTGCCGGAATCTGTACGGATCGGAATGAAAAATAAGCATGTAATTTAACTGACATATCTAGAGTCCAGATAAAACCATTATGTGGCAAATATGAGAGCGCTGTTTACAGTTTGTAAACGTCTGAGTGAAAAGGCACTTGTGGGTCCATCTCCGACCCTGAGCTGGGTGCCTCGGCGCCCGCGGTCAGTCGGGGGAATCCCCGCCTGCAACCCTTCGGCCAGACGGCTTGTGTTCAGTCCGTCATCCGAGGTGCTGGAGAAGCTGCGAGGGCATGTGGAGGTGAGGGAGAACTTCATCAGCGAAGAGGAGGAGAGGGCTTTGCTCAGGGAGCTGGAGCCGGGGCTCAAGAAGAAGCGATACGAGTTTGACCACTGGGACGATGTAAGTATCGGCCACTCAGTTTAGTAAGCAAGGTCATTTTTGTTGGTCGTCTGAGCAATATCTTTGTAATGCATTATAATAAATATTTTTAAATATTTAGTTTTCCGGTTATATATAACAACGCTTTTGGACGGGGCGGGGGGTTCATTTGCAGGAACTTAACGCTTTAGAGTATGCATGGCAGAACTGACATTTTAAGGATTTTATACTGATCCTTCGCCGCCCTTGTCAAGTTAAGATGACTGGCCTTTCACCTGAACAATTTAGGCGATTCACGGCTACCGGGAAACGGAGCGACTGCGATGGGGCCCCGAGTGTCAGGCGATACTGGAGCGTCTCAGGAGTGCGGCTTTCCCGCAGGGCAGTCAGCAGCTCGGCCCCGTGCACGTCCTAGATCTTGACCAGAAAGGGTACATAAAGGCGCATATTGACAGCGTGAAGGTACGGGCCCTTTCACTGTAGACCGGGCAAAAGGGAAGGGGAAAAGCTACAATAAAAGCATGTGTTATGAATTTTGCCGGTTTCAATTTAAAGTGAAACGTTCGCACTTTCTCCCAGTTCTGTGGCAGCACTATAGCTGGAGTGAGTTTGCTGTCAGACAGCGTGATGCGACTGGTCAGCGAGGATAACGTGGAACACTGGGCGGACCTGCTTCTGCTAAGGCGATCTCTGTACATCATCAGGTAGTCAGCCGATAGCGGCAGATCATAGCCAGGGTATATCTATCATGTATGAACACAATCATGGCTTTTCATTCGAATTGGTGTGGGACTGGCTTAGTGAGATTCTTTTCCTGCAACCCATCGGGTATAAAATTAACGCTCAATCTGCAATGGCCCCCTCTCGTTTGTAAATTTATTATGTTCTTAATGTTTATGGCTGTTTTAACTTGCCGGTAGTGTGAAGAAAAGAGCCGATTCACGATTAATATTAAAACGGTCACATAGATTAAACTACCAATTAAGAGCCGCCTTAATTCTGTCAGCCCAGTAATGACAAGTACTCCAAGCAAAGTATCAGGGTGTGTAGGAGCATTAAAGAACAACCAAGCACGTATACTTTAATAGCTCCTAATTATTGAAAGCTCCTAATTATTGCCATCTGCGAACATGAAGTATCGCGATTAAGCGCGATAGATTATTAACGTTCAGTTACTTCGTTGAGTGTTATCTGTTCAAAACTTCATCATTTGATCATTCCGTGATCATCTTATTTCAGGGACCGGGCAAGATACAAGTTCACACACGAGGTGCTGAAAGACGAGGATTCGTTCTTCTTAGGGGAGAGAATACCCCGGGACCGCCGCATTTCAGTAATTTGCCGGAACCTTCCTGCCTGACGCGAGAGAGATGGGGACATATTTCAGTGCAGCACAGCTTTTATTGATTTGTAATGCCTATATTTAAAGATAAAGAAAACTCTACCGAGCTGGATATATTTGAATTAGTGATTATTGCTATTTAAATTGTATTGTATCCGATGTTTATTTTTTCATTTGAATTAAATAAAAATGGTTATTGTAGACAATGGAGTGAAACACGTGGAATTTCTTTTAAAAGTCAGATGACTCCTTTCTTAAAAAAGAAAACTATGTTTTACTCATAATAATCACTCAAATGTGCACCAGCTTTACTAAAAAATTTACAAAATTACACAGGACCATGTAAACAGAAAAAAATACAATAAATTAAGTAGCATGGAACAAAGTTTAAAAATAAATAATTTACATAAAGACATCACCCTCGTTGACAGTACCAGTCCTAGCCTATATGGCACTCTAGGCAAACTCATCACCGCTGCCCAATCCCAGTCTGTTCCCCCTCAGAAGTTGGTGCCCTAGGCGGTCGCCTATATCGCCCAGTGGGTTGACCAGCTCTGCTCATTTGCTCTTGAGAGTCAAGCCAGAGTGCTGTAATCAGAAGGTTGCCATTGTCACGCATGGAGGGCATTAGCCTTCGTATTCAGGATGCAGAAAGATGCATCACAGATCATAGAAGGGCAGGATTTTGCAAACATGAATGGGACCATATATAATAGCACATTGCAATAGGAAATGTCTGACCAAATGAAAACAAGAAAATAATTTATATACATTTATACAGGCTTGTACAATGACCTTCCTTCTCCCCAATTGCTCTGTTCACTGTCTAGAGTCACCATTGATGTGTCTTTGGCCCCTCATTTTTTTCCGTCAGGCACCAGAAAAGCTTTTGCAGTTTCCCCTTCCCATTGCCCCCAAACATAAGCACCAAGCCCCTCCCCCGCGCCCCTGTCTCTAGCTCAACCCACACAGGTGCAGGCTGCAGCAGACAGTTCTTCCACCTTGTGCCAGCGGTGGGTGTTATCCAGGAAAGCGAGGTCCTCGTGGTGGGTGGGTCGGCAGCAGGGGCTGCTGTGCCAGCTGTCACCGGGAAGGGGGGGTGGTAGTGCTCCCCGCAGCAGGAGGTTGGTGAGGGTCAGGTCGTGGTTGGACCGCACGAAGGGGCAGGTGCCGCTGCAGTACTTGAAAAGCACCGTCTCGTCCGAGTCATAGCCTAGACCCAGCTCTCGCACCCGGAGCAGCAGCATGCGCAGGCCGCAGGGCGACTCGGCATCTCGACGGGCACGTGCCGCCCCCTGCCTCCCCGTCTCCTGCCCTTCACCATCGCTGTCCTCGAGCAGAGCCCCCGACTCTGGCGAATCAGGGGGAAACGCCTTCCCCTGCAAGCCTGAAGTATAGGAGGGAGGGGGGTCACATGATCAGGAAGTATGGGTTTGATTCCAGTGTACGACAGTTCATATATCTTACGGATGCATGAGGAAAGCCACAGAAAAGCAGGGTGAACGTGTGAACGTGCAAATGCAAAGTGCACATTGTCCACTATTCCTGTTGCCATTCTGTTCAATGCACAAATATTTAAACATCATAATTTACACATAAATATACTGCCATTGTATTGTGAAGCAGCACAGTGCCTTTGTGCAATATAAAAACATCTTTTTTTTTTATTCCAGAGATAATCATACTAGTGTGTTGCTGTATTACTGAATCCAAACCACACTTTCATCATTACATTCTTCAAAACAAGTTCTTGGTTGTGTCTGCAGTGCACCAAAATTATTTCATTTGATTTAGTTTGTACATAACGAATTGCTGATTATTATGCATAAACACTATATTTAACTGCCTCAAACTACTAAATGCCTTAAACTTTATTTCCCACTTAACTGATATCTGCTAAAGAGCAATGACTGTTAATTTCTAGCTACAACTGGAAAATACAGGAGCCTTACACGAAGATGACAGTTTATAAGCCACAGTTAGTCTGCTTATGTGTCTGCTGTTGATTTTAAAGGTTTTTGTTTGGGATGGAAACCTTCAAAACATAACCCTATGAAAGGTATATTCTCATTTATGAAATATTAGTAAGCTGTCAGTTATGACCTTTGTTTCTCTTTGTTGTCCACACTGATACTGCATCAACCAGCTGACTTTTCTTTTCTATCCATGTGTATTTCAGGTGTGTTAAACCATTTCAGCCAAAGTAGTCAGTTACGCTTATCATTCGATTCTCTTCTGAAAGATAACTAGCATCCCTGAGGGATGTAAACGTCTATCAAAGGCTGTCTTCCGTCTCCAGGTGCACAGTGCAGATTTGTGTGGTGGTGTTCCACATAGAGGCATGTTATCTTACCCAGCAGTGAATGCAGCAGGTGTCCATCATCCCTGTGGACGCAGCAGAGCAGCACGGCTACGTTCAGCAAGATCTTCATCTCTTCGGCGTTCTCTTCGTGGACAGGATGAGCACGTTGGACAGGGGTAGGTGCGTGAGTGATGCTGAGAGATGCCAGAGTCACTCCTGCTCAATTTATACCCTTCTGAGTTGGAGTGAAAGTGAAATGGGGCGGGGGGGGGGGGATAACCCTTTGTGTGCTGGAGTGTTCCCGTCACCTGTGAGGAAGATGCATGCTTGCTCATTATGTTATTGGAGTCAATCAACCCAGAATTTCTCTCATTATTACAATCTAATAGTTACTGATGACAAGCCTCGATAGTCAAACTGCATTCAGCACAAGACCAAAGAAAGAAAATCCTCTCGGCCATAATATAATTGAAGGTGCTCCGATGTAAATCGAAAGTGGAAGGTGAAGTTCAAAGGCCTGAGGTTAATTCCAGAAGGTACAAGGGACATAGAGTGTCCAGTGGGTAAATGACTTACAAGAATAAGATTAAGACCCCAAGGGTAAATTCAGGGGGGTGGGACTGATCAGGGAAAGATGTATTGACTCAGAAAGAGATGGATGCAAAGAGAAATGGTCAAAGAAAGGGTTAACTGAATGAGGGATGAAAGTGTCGTAATTAAAAAAGAGAAAAAAAGATGACAGAAGGTATTTTAATGGAAATTCCTAGACGGAACAGCATCTTTAGTAGCATGTACATAAATTGTGGGATTTTATCAGAAATGCATGTTTTTTTTCTCCAACTGCCCTTATGTAACATCGAAGAAGGACAACAAGCAGAAGCGGCTAAGAAAGGAAGGAGGAGAGGCGAACAGGTGATGCTTCACGCTCGGATATGGATGACGCACTTTTTTTTCAGTTCGTGTGCTTGTTTGGTTGTAACTCTGTGTATTGAGTAAATTCTGTTATTAATATTAATTAACTGTGTGACTCACAACATATGCACAACATCCATCCATCCAGTTTCAGAAACCGCTAATCCTGTTCAGGGTCACAGGAGGGCCCAGGGCCTACTCACACACTACACACTATGAACACACACACTAAATGCAAACTATCAGAATTCTGACGGTGCAGGAAAATATGTAGGACATGGCAAAATGGAGCCATGTGGCACCAGGAATGGGAGGAGGGATTGGGGATCTTATTTAAATACGGGTGTAGAGGTTTAACAAGAGTGGGGGGAGCAAAGCACAGCTGACTCTGTGTGAGAAGAAAGCTAAACATTCACAAGAATAGAAAATGGGCTTTAAGTCACAAAAAGGCTACAAAGTGTGAGGCCGATCATTAGATTGTGAGTCTTTTTCCTGGGGTGACAGTTAAAAACTCCATCTTACGGGGCCGATGACCTACTTTAGTGACTTCCTCACCTGGATTTGCCCTGCTCTCGGACTGTCACAATATCCTCCTGAGACCCCACCCATTCATTTATGTCCATTGCAGTGGACATTTTGTTTTTGCATCTATCTTTTCACTGATGTAAGGAAACATATTTATTCCTGTTGTACACTAAGGAGGATATGCTGTCAAATTAAAAATAAAAATAAATTAGAAAAAATCTAAATTTTAAGATGTCTTTTCCTACAAAGACAAATAACCTAAAATTGAAGGACACTTTTTCCTTGGGTCTCAGGAGGATATTACTCAGCAGCATCAAGTCTTTGGAACTACAACGCCTGGCTTTCAGTAGGACCCACTCCACCTGATCAGGGTTTGCTAATCTGTGCTCTTATTGGCTATTCCCGTGGCAGTGTGCGACCATCACGCGTGGCTTAGGCTGGTCTGCTGAGCATGGGGTCCCTTCAGGCTGGAGCTGCCAAGGCAGCCACTCTCTCTCAGCAGTATGACCCTCAAAGCCTGGCTTTTCTCTCGTTGTTACGCATCCACACCGTCCTCTGCCAGAGCACTCACCGCGATTCACACCATCTCCTGAAGCATGGCTCTTCAGTGTTCTCCGGAGTAGACGCTAACTGAAAGCCAATAGCTAAAGTAAAAACAACAGAAGGCCATCAAACTGCCATGGAAGGACTGAAAAACGACCAAGCGCACTAGCCTCCAAGCACTCCCTTGAAGCAATTATTCAAATCATAAGGAATTTGAAACAAATGTGTATTTTTCACTGATCCTGTTGGCCTGCACTTGTTTTCTGAAGCTTACAGGAACTAGAAGCTGCCATACAATGTTTGTCAATGAGCATTTCATACAATTGTAGCAATGGTAGCTGGAGTGTGCTGGGTAACATCCCTATAGATGTGAGTGTGATTTCACGACGGCCCTTATGTCTCCACACCTGCATCCTGTGATTGGATGGCTGTGGTGATCTTAATGGCAGAGCCTTGGTTACATTCCTTCTGATGTTCAGGGCCGGAGAGAGCGGCTGGGAAGGAAAAGGTTTAAAAATACCATCAAGGTGAAGCAATCCCTTTGGAATTTCCTTCTGTTGACACGCAGTAACATGGAACTACTACTGTCAGAGAGAAATGGGAAGAATTTGGCATCATTCTTAATCAGACAGTTACACACTGACATGGGGAAAACTGCACATCTAATGATACATTTTTCCCGCTACTGTAGTGCCAGCGGTTTTCATCAAAAGAGAGCAGTTTGAGCAACAGGTTATGGAGCCTAAAGTCTCCACCAATGGTGTCTGTATGACAGTTAATGTACAGAGACGCATAGAGCAGCAAGATGAGGAATTCCACTCAATGTGATCAGGTTGTATGTGTCTAGTAGCTTTCATTGCAGTTGGACGTGCTTACTTTTAGTTTCCGTACACAGTATGCCTTTAAATAAAAAGAGTGACACTGAGTGTTTGTTGTGGCTAAATTGGCTTCTTCTGATTGGCTGTTTGCTGTCTGATGGCCGGAGTGAATGAATCCATTGCAGCCATTGGGTAACACTGCAGCAGACTCAAGGTCAAGACGCAGCTCCATAACAAGGCTATGAGAATTCCCCTTGACTCTTGACTTTGTCCGTATAAATGAGGTACACCTAGATCTTTATTCTCATTAATATTTGCCAGAAAAGAACAATGTTTCATCTTCAATAGTTTATGTCTGTACAAATGTCTAGTGCATAGTGATGTATGATCTGTTAGTAGTAAATGGTAGAATTAACCATCCTGCCGTTTTCAATAAAATGGCAGTGTCACAGAGATCCTGGAGCCTCAACCGGGAATTAAAGGACAGGAGACACCCGGAATGCCATTGCCTCACAGGAGACACCCGGAATGCCATTGCCTCACAGGAGACACCCGGAATGCCATTGCCTCACAGGAGACACCCGGAATGCCATTGCCTCACAGGAGACACCTGGAATGCCATTGCTTTACAGAGGACATACATGGAGCAATTTAGAGACACCCATCCACATATCTTTAAACCAGTGTTTCCCAGCCCGGTCCTCAGGGACCCACAGTCGGTCCACGTTCTTGCTCCCTGATTGGGAAACACCACTTTAGACCATAAGCGGAAACCCACACCAATGACGTAAGACCATGCACACTTCATGCATAAAATGTCGGGGCTGGGAAATGAACACAGAACCCCGTAGGTTTAAGGCTACAATGTCACCCATTGAGCCACTGTATTTTTCTGACAGAATCAAATTAAATAACATATTACACGATCATGCACAGTAACCTTCCGTATATTTGTGTATATTGTGTTTCTCTTTCTATCTTTCTGTGTTGAGATAGATTGGATTACTGGGTATTGATTTATATTGCATATAAATCTCTCTGCTTCTATGTTCTCAGGTTAGCCAAATATAACATTCTTAGCTATTTCTGCTCCCTCGTCTGCCTGCCACTTGGGACAGTCCCGTCTGGAGCTCACCCCCGTCGGGGAACCTAGAGAGATCCAGCCTGACTCAGCCTCCTCATACGGTCAGCCTGCTCTGAGATAACAGACCCACGCCACATATGCTCTATGCAGGCTTTCCCCCATTTTCTCTGGCACTGGATTTCAACTAGTAACTAAAAACCAACATGTCCCTTAAATCAAGGATGAAGAACCTCAGGAACAGCGTCTTTCCCAGAGCCATAATAGCAGTGAACCTTAACATGCACTGACCATCTCTCTCCCTCCCTTCCTCGCACCTCAATCTTTTCTGGATGTGCAACAAACAGCCCAGTGCAATGTTTGCTTTATGTGCA